CAGAAAGCGCGCGCGGCGAAGCTGGGCCGTATTACAGAAGGAGCCCGCCGGCGAGCCCGACTGGTCAGTAATCGGTCTATACACAAGCTAAAGGATCTAATCACAGGAAAACCCGCAACATAACCTTTTCTATTTCGTAGCGCGAATTGCGGCGTTAAACTGCGGTTAACAGATTAAAAAACAACTTGGAAACATGAGGAGCCCTCAGCGTCACAGTTTACTGAGGATATCGATTAACTGATTCATCGCGCTAAACGTGTGACTGCTGTAAGGCTGTTGCACAAAAGGCCATTGAGCTGGAAGGGTAAAATCGGTCGCGTGCGAGTCGTAATGAATAGCGCGCTCGCCTGGTCAGCAGAAGATGGTGTTCGAATCCCGCCTGAGGTCTGGCTTTTGCCCATAAATCAGCATTCTCGTGAAAACTCTTACAATTTTACGAAATTCGTCCCTCTGTTACTGAAAGGGGAAGAAAATTTCGCTTTCCCAATCCGAACATAACAACAAGAGCTCACTTTTCACTTCCTGAGGCGTAACTGGGCGCTACTGTGGTTAAGGGACCACTCTACCGCGCCTCTCCATTCTTTGCCCAAATAGTCTCAAGCCTAGAGTGCAGATGACACAATCCCCAAATTACAGTCCCGCAGAAAAAAAACATAGCCTCTACTAAGTCCAAGCCTTGGTTAGGGAAATGGATACAGAAGCCCTGGCGAGTGATCCCCTCCCCCTACGAGAGTGCCCAGAGTTGCTTGCCTCAGACCAAACTAAACAAAACTTCCCGTTCTATATGTTCTGTCAAACATAATGGACTCCATGTTGCAGCAAACTGTCTCAAAACATAGATGTCATTCAATGCCTTTCACTATAGCACCGATTCAGATGTACCCTTGTGTCGCAGTCGATCCACTAAAATACCACTTGGTTCTGAGAGCAGGGCCTTCGAGCAAGATTTTGCCGCACTAGAAACTATGATACTCACTAGTAACAGTGATGTTGTGAATAGTGAAAGCAGGGCACATCGCCACGATTTAAGAAAGGACGGATTCGCACGGCACCATAGG